GCCTGTTTTGGGGGGGCTACCAGCACCGAAGAATTGCCACATTTTCGACGCTTTTGTCCCACATACTCGCACACCGACCCTGCAATCTGTGTGCAGACGCAGTCAGAAAGAGAGTGCAAAGGAGATCGATTATGAATATGCGGGGTGCGCGAGAGCTCTCACTGACTCATCACTGTCTTATGCACAGCTTCGCGGCCACTCACTGCGTACAGTCACCGGCTTTGTCTCTCGAGCTGGGCTACGACCATCGGCAAATGGGGTCGCAATCACTTTCCATCCCGGGAAGAATGCCATCATTCGGGAGATCCGGGTTTGCGATGTTGTAGCACTTCTTCGAGCACAGCGGCCAGTCTTCTGGCCTGCTCATGTCGTCGAGCAGGCCGTCGCTGTCGACCTCACGGCCGTCAGGACAGTAGGCTAGCTCGGACTGGCAGTCACCTCTCGCCCAGTTGCCGACTATTCGATACTTCCCTTCGAGTGCACCTCCGAGCTCGGACGTTGCAAAATAGTGGTTGCCGTTTTCCGGCATGAGTTGGATGATCAGCCCCGCAAGCCTCGAGGAGCAGTGTATAAAATCTTGTCCGTTTGGATCAGGCCCTTGCACAAAGCTCCTATCCGTCGCATCCACGTCTCCCGCAACGCTCCTCGGCCCCGTCGCATTCGAGTAATCCCGATTCGATCCAGGGGTGGGCCGCCCATCGTCAGCGGCGGCAGCTCGTGCCTGCCGGCGAGCGGCACGGCTCAGTGTCATCTCGCCCCATCGCACGCCAACGCCACCGTTCTACTCGCCTCTCTCTCTCTCTCTCTCAGCGGGAGACGCGCGCCAGTGGCTGTCCGAATCGGCCGCGTCCGCCGCGTCGTTCACCGCCATGCCCGGCCGGCACCCGGTCTGCCGCGCGAAGCACAAGTAGGCGTTCATGATGAAGGCCACGTTCACCTCGAACGGCTCCATCACAGCTGCGTGTCCTGCATCTGGTACTCTCCCACCTGGAAGAGGTGCTGCTTCGTGCACGGCTTCGTCGTCGCCTCGCGCAGCTCGGCCATCGTCCGCCGGCTCGCCACCGCGCTCGCCCTCTCGCTCGCCGCCCGCTGCGCCGCCTCACTCTGCCCGTGCGACGCGCTCTCCTGCGCCGCCTCGCGGCCCGCCGCCCGGCCGGCGGCTCCTGCCGCGTCCTTCATCCCGCCGCCGCCGCCGTCGTACAGCGACATCACCTGCTTGGTCACCAGCCGCCAGTACTGCCTCGCATCGTCCGGCATCGCCGGCCAGATCTCGCGCCACACGTGGTTCTTCATGTGCTGCAGCGCGACGTAGACCGTGTTCTCGCCGCGCCCCGTGCGCACCGTCGGCTCCTCGTCCCGCGCGTCGCCCCGCTCGGTCGCGTGCCACCGGCTCGCCCTCGGCGCGGTAATTCGCGTCGTCGCCAGCCACTTGCCGAAGCGGATCGTCCACCGCACCGTCGGGTGCAGACCGAGGGCCGTCCGCTGCATCGGCACGCTCTTCCCCGCCGCGGCCTGCGTCGCCAGGAACTCGCGCAGCCGCAGGCGCACGCGCCGAAGCTGCACTGACAGCGCCGGCCCGTGTGGCGCTAGCATCGGCCGCCCATCGCCGCACGCGGCCTCCTCCTGCCGCTCGTCATCCTCCGCCTCGAGGGCGTCCGCCAGCGCGCTGCGCTGCACACCCCGGCGCACAGGAGGCGGCGCCGGCCGCACCTCGGCCGCCTCGGCGTCGCCCGCGGCACGGGCGCCCCGCTCGCCGTCCGCGCGGTCCATCGCCGCATCCCCATCCCCGTCTGCGGCGGCGCCTCCTGCGCCCGTGCCGGCCTGCTCTGCGACGGCTCGCCACCGCTCGTCGTCCAGCATGTGCCACCACCGCCGATCCGGGTAGCCGTCGTACTCGACCTGGTGCGCGATCCGTCCGTCCCCGTCCTCCTCCCGCGCCATGACGGTCGCAGGGTACCACCGCTCACTGTCGCAGAAGATCTCGAGGCGCGATCCGGTGGACAGGACAGTGTGGCCGTCGAGCGCCGCCCTGGCATCCTCGCGCTGTCGCTTCCGCCGCTTCGCCTTCGTCTCCTTGCTGCGCAGCAGGGTGTAGTTCGGGCCCACCTCCCGCACGCTGTCCAGCAGCTGGGCGGCGCTCGCCATCTCGACCGCGTCGTCCTCCGGCGGAAGCTCCGCGTCGCCCGCGGCCGATTTCCGAGCGCGCTCGTCGCGCAT